AAAAAAAAAAAAAAAAAAAAAAAAAAAGCAGCTTAGTTTTTAGACTTCCTTCAAATTCACAGTGTCATTTATAATTTGCTATGTTAGTACATTCTTGATAGATCAATACGTCCAATTGCTAAGGCTTTTTCATCTGCAAGACATGGATTTATGGGAATTCATTTGAGAGTAAAAATGGCTTTGATTTCCCTGCGTTCAGTTGAGTAATCACCAGCAAAGAAAGTCTTTTGTTAGAGTAAAAAAGCATCGCTTAAAAAGACATGGTGAGAATATTAAGGCCACTTTTTTGAAGGCACACATTAGGATCTCCTGCAGTTCTAATCAGACTATAGGCCGCTTCATCTATATTTAACTATGCGGTGAAAAAAAGCCTTTAGTTTGTGGTCCAAGGCCATTTCTTGCTTTGCTGTGATCTACATTGCAGCGAGGGAACAAGATTTTACCAGTTTAAGTGTGACTTTTTCAGAGTCTCTAAAACCTTGCTGGGTGAATCAAACATAATTTGAAATCGAAGTGGGTAGCCTTCCAGATTAAACCCCCCCACCCCACAAACATTCAAAGGATGAAAGGGAACCAATAACAGCAGAGGTGAGCGATAAGCAGTTCTGAGGACTCCTGGTTAGAAGAGAAAGAAATTGAATTTAGTGCAGAGTAAAGCCGACACAAAGCAGGTTCCGAGGTTCAAACGGCAGAGCAACGTTCTCGATAGAAACGTATGTTCTCTGCAAATGTTTATGTCTTCTCACACTCCAGGTAGACTGCGCTGTCTTCTTCTTCAAAAAAAAAAAAAAAAAAAAAAAAGAGGACGGGGGGTGTTTCTGTGGTCAGAGGATGCTGACTCTCTCAGTGAGGCCTTTCATGTCCGAGTCCTCCGCGCCATCGTCGTCATCGGAGGCTGACGCAGGCGGAAGTGGTACGTAGTTAGCCGGGTACGACAGTTTGTGCTTCGTGGCGTACATTTGCCAGCGGCTATCGTCGCTCTCGTGGGTGATGTAGCGCTCGCCAAGCTTGGTCTCCAGTTCCCGCAGATCCAGCCACGTCTGGTAGTCCTGAAACAACGGGAGACGAGCAGGAGGACAGAAATTCAGTTTCAGTGAGAGCTTTTGAGTTGAGACTGAGGCTGAAAGGCCTTCCAGGTTTAGAATGCGCCATCAGATAAGCGGTTTATGTTGGACGTGTGGTTTTATTTGGCAAGAAACATTACACTGAAATTACCATTGTCATACACGACAGTGTTAACCTTATGATTAACCTAAACAGATTAATGAATGAATGAGCTGTCCTGTACTAACAATGAACACATTATAATCATGTCGCCTACATTCTCCTGTCCACCTACTAAAACACTGAAGTCATTTTGAGCTGGTGATCTTTTCAAAGTGACTTATTTTAGGGCGTTATTTTAGAAAGGTGATGATGTATTATAACGTTCTTATTTTGCAGGCTTGCCTAGGAAAGAGAAGTGTTTTTGGTTAACTTAACCTTTGTGGAATAAGACAAAATTTGGACCTATTACGTGTGTATAGACAGTTGCATGATATATAGTTAGACATAAGAAAAATAGCGCAGTGCATTAAAGTGTCATAATGGAGACCAAGCAGCATTCTAGGCCTTTCTCGTTGTTATCCACATGCTATGACGCAAAATCTTACATGGGACTCCAGACCAGGGAAAACAGATGGTCATTTTATTTTTCATTTTTTGCTAAATTATGGCTCCAACAGCTGTGGGTTTATCAGAAATCTTCTTACTAATGCCCATGTAGCCCACTCCAGTCTGGTGCAGATTGTACCAACGTCTTTTCACAGTTCGTTGACCTCACACTTTGTTGGTGGAAAGGTTGGGGGGTAAAACTGATTTTGCAGATAATCTGCTTATCACACATAACAAGCCGAGATAAAGAGAATCAACTAGTGTTTTATCTGTGTGATTCCAGTGAGTCTTCAGGTGGATCAAATATTTATTTCGCAATTTTTGACATGCAGATTAATTTATAACTTTCGATGTAAAATATTTCTTTCTTTTTGCTTACACTTGGGTTCTTATCTTTAAACCTTTGCTACATAAAAATGAAGACTATGCAGTCCTTGGCGACTGAGCAAGCTTGCAAAATAAGAGCAGGTTATTTTCCCACTATGCACACACATCAGCCTTGAACTTCCAATTTTTTAGGTGCAGACCCTTTGGATTTATATGAAAAATATAATTTAACAGTTTACAGATTACTAGGAGATCTCATGATTTTAAAAGCTTTTGTTCTCCAACGTTTGAAGAATTGGATAAAGCAAAAAAACTTCTACTTTTATCAACTTCTCTCAGAAATGTGTGTGTGAGATCAGATGAATGGTTTCTTTAAGTTACCTGTAAATAGGAATGGCTCAAACTTTTGTCGACACTGTAGCGTTTCCTCATCTTGACTTGCAGCAGGTTGTTGATCAAGTCGGTAGCTGGGAACACAAAAATAGTGAGATCGTTTATTAAGATTATTAAAATGAAACTCATCGCGATACCAAATAACAATAGCAACTTTCATTGTACTTAGGAGAATCCCAGAACTGGAAAAAAAAAAAAAAAGTCAGCAGAGAGACAAAAGACGTGCTTGATCTGCAGGTTTCTGTCTGACCGCTGAACCTTACGTTCATTTTGCTTTAGAAAAAAAAAATCTTATCTATGGCAACAGAGTAAAGTTTGTTTTCTTGTTCCAGTGTTGAATGTGATTTTATGCCTCAGAGCGTGAAACCTTCAGCTTTTATTGTTTCTTCTATTGGTGCTGGGATGTTGGATTTTCTGAATTTCCTTTTTGAAATACAGCTAGAACATTCACTGAGGTTGAAATTAGGACTGGGAAAGTCATAGGTCTCTGATTTCTGTATTCAAAATGGCTGCCGCACATGTAAAATATTGTAAACGATGCGGTTGTAATTTCTCTATCAGCTTGTTCCTGGCACTTATAGAACTGTACAGCCTCTGTTTGTGAACATATTCTTTAGTGCGTGAACCTTGGATTGGAGACGAATACATAGTCTTGTTTTGCTAACAGCAGTGAGCGCCACAACTAGCAAATTGGGTTTCCCAGCTTGTAGGTGGGAAGGTACTCAACTCCGCTGTGAAGTCATTTTCAGGTCAGAGGTGTTAGTTCTTGAACAAATCAAATGACAATCTAAACAAAAGCGTAAATTGAAAGCTTCGGTCTCAGACCGGAAGAAGGAGAGTTGGCAATCCTAGTTTAACATTTCTGTTGATTTTACCGTTTAGAGATATCGACTTGCTGTGGAGTCGAACTTAAGAGTTTTTACACGACACAGTTGATCAGGTATTTAGGATATTATAGGTATGTGACAAAGACAAAAACAGGCTGAGGCTAGGTGGTTAAATTTCTAAAGCTGTGACTGTTGCCTCTGCAGGAGCCAGAAAGGTCTGCAGTTACAAATGTCTCCGTCTCTGGTGGTTTTCCTGGAGCAGCACTTTCATGGGGGAGGTGAAAAGATGCTAGGTTCTATCTGTGAGAACCACAGTCATTTCCTGCCTTCTTACTGCTTGTGCACCATTTAAATCTAAAACTTCCTCATGTCATGTGTCCACTAAAGTGTGGAAACAAAGCCTGACTGTCAGAAATAGAACCACAGAAGTCAGAGGCACCAAGGTGTCGAAAAGTAATAACCAGAGAGTTCCAGAAAAGTCTGAGTTTCTTTATGCCTTGCACAGCTCACATAGAGTTGGCGATTAATAATACTAATAATATCAATCAACTAATAATCGTCTAAAATGCCAATAAGGTTGACCTACAGTCTCTGTGTGTGGTTTTTGAAAAAGACAAACGTTAAACTTTTATCAGTTGACCCCACTGCTGATTAATCCCCTTCCCGTTTACCGTCTTTGGAGATCTTTTTCCAGGGGTTGACCGGGTACATGAATGCCGCGTTTTGAATCTGGTCATTGATGTCCTCGTCCTCATTGAAGGGAAACGTGCCGCTCAGGCTGACGTACATGATGACGCCGACCGACCACATGTCCAGCGAGCGGTTGTAGCCCTGGTTCAGCAGAACCTCTGGGGCCAAGTAGGCCGGTGTGCCGACGACGGAGCGACGGAAAGACTTCTCGCCGATGATGCGTGCGAAACCGAAGTCGCACAGCTTCACCTGGAATCAGCGAGGAGATGATCAGTTGCACCAATCAGTTGATTTTTAGAATAAGAGTGAATTAGTGTGTTATATACAGTTAAAACGAAAGACACACTTTTTTTTTTTTCCTCACTGTTTGGTCAAAACTCTCATTTTAGGTCAGTCACAATTACCAAAATTACTTCTGTTGCTAAATGTTAGAAAACTTACTGGCAACTTTTTTTTTGACATATTTTTTTGTAACTTCCTTCAAATTACAAAGACCTTTGTAGAAAGATCTTTGGTTAGTACCAGGGATATTTGTAGGTTAAACTGTATGATTTGGGTCAAACCTTGTGGATTTTTTTCCTCACGTTTCTCACTGTAAGGTTTGCTGGAGTTTTGGCCCATTCCTCCTGACAGAACCGGTGAAACTCAGTCAGGTTTGTACGCCGTCTCTCAAATGCTTTCTTTTCATCTCCCCACAACTTCTCCATATTTCAGGGTTTGTGATGGCAACATCAAAACACTGATTGTGTTGTCCTTAAGCCACTTTGCAGCCACTTAAGCCGTATGCTTATGGTCAATATCCTTTTGGGAGATCAATCCTGCAGCCAAGCTTTTATTTCCTGGCTGATGTCTTCAGATGTTGCTTCAACATTTCCACATAATGTTCTTTCCTCATGAAGGCGTCTATTTTGGGACGTGGACCTCCTCCAGGAAATCATCTCCACGACGTAATGCTTCAAAGCTAAGATGGTGCAAACATCCCTGCTTTTCCTCCAAACGTAATGATGGTTGTTACGGCAAAACAGTTCCACTTTAAGTTTCGTCAGACCATAGGACAAGTCTCCAAAAATGAAAATGTTTGTTCATGTGTGCATCTACAAACTGCAATCTGGCTTTTTATGTTTTGTTTGAAGTAAAGGTTTCTTCCTTTCAGCCCATGTCGCTACAGGACATGTTTCACTGTCTGATAAAGACTCTGTATTATACCAGCTACAACAGCATCTTCACAAGGTCTTTGGCTTTTGAGCAGGAGCCGATTTGCACATTCATATATTCATGTCTGAGACACGCAACACGTTTTCTGCCTGCGCAGTGTGATGACTGGAGATTCCCACCACGTCTATATTTGCGTACATTTGTTTGAACACACGAATGCAGCACCTTCACTCAGTAGGAAATTGTTCCTAAAGAAGTACCAGGCTTGTGCAGCTGCACAATTCTCTTCTGATTTGTTTGGACTTTAACATCATGTGAAACAAGAAAGGAGTGTGTTTCTGGCGCGGCCTTAAAATACACCCACTGGCTTAACCCCGATTAACTCAAACGTGCTAGTTAAGGTTTGTGGAAGGATCTCCAAAATGTTTGACCAAAGTCATACGGTTTAAAAGACCGTTATTTCTGACGGCGACCAAATAGATGTGAGCTGCTGAAATTAGAGGAAGTTACAAAAAAAGGTTCTTTTAACCAACTTAAAACAAGGAAAGTTTGGTCTGATTTAACTTGAGACAGTGAGACATAAATCCTGTATGTCTTTTTATTCAGTGTGCACAAATATCTGGTTTCAACTGTACAGATAAGCCCTGCTGCTTGTGTGAGTACCTGCGGGAACGGATCGGCTGAGGCGAGCAGCACATTCTCAGGTTTCAGATCACAGTGAACAATATTCTTGAAGTGGAGATGTCTGAGAGCTGCAAGAATCTTATCACACACAGAAAAGCATGTCACAGACCACACAGTCAGTAAATGACTCAAAGAAAACTATTAATACAATATTCATAACTTATGAGGCTGTCTACATGTAAATGTCAAAAAGTGTGCTTCTCAAAACTCTTCACTTCTTGCTCCCCCCCCCCCTTTTACCTAAAGATCATCTAACAAATTATGACATCAGAAAACATAAAATGAGTAAATATGTGAAGGTCTTTTCAAATTTTGACTGCATTTATTAAGAGAAAAACAGAAATATCCAAAACAATGCATGCGAAAAAGTAATTATCCAAACATAAGACGTTCTGAGACCGTCCTTGGTTGCACCAAGCCTTACGACGGGCAATTAATGTTTCACATGGCTGTTTAGGTATGTTGCTGTAACTCAGCAACATCTCAGCTTGTTTGGACATGAGTACTGCTGGTCATTTTCATGCTGCACAGCTCAGATGGCCAGAAAGTGGCAGAACAAAAACTGAGCATTTCCCTAAAGATTTTCTGGTAAATACTAAATGTATTGGCTCCACCAGTTGAAGCAAGTCATCCAGGTCTCAAAGCAAAACATTGACCATCACACAACTACCACATTATTTGACTATAGTTACTTTTATCTCTTGAAGAACTTATCATTTGACAACTACAGTCTATCTTCACTCATATTAAGAGTGAAAACAAAATCTTATTAGAATATGGGTAAGACTTTATTTGACTGACATGACGCCTGTCATGAACGTGAATGAGTTTTCATGAATGTTTATGACTGCTGTCATGAAGTGCCATACGGTAAATAATGACACTTTTAAAGCAAAGTTGCATTAAACATGTATTAAAAGTCCATTGAAATGATCAATTTTGCATCATAAGTGTCATTATTTGCCAAGTGACACTTCGTGACAACAGTCATAAACGTTCATAAAGACTCCTTCATGTTCATAGCAGGTCATGTCAGTCTTATGAACACCACTTCAAACAAAGTGTTACCAGAATTAGTTTGACAATGTAAAAAATTTAAAAAGGATTAAAAAAAAAAAAAAAAAAAAGCCGAAAAGAAAAAAATCTATAAAAGGGGCAAATAGTTTTTTACAGTACTCCATACTAGTATAGTAAAACAGCAGACATGCAACATAAACAGCATTAAGTTACAATTTGTTGTTCTGCCAGAGACAAAAACACACCTGTGTGATGAGGAACTTGGTCAGCCTCTCCGGCAGTCTTCCCTTCTCGCTGGAGAGGATCATCTCCAGCATGTCGCCGTGCAGCTTCTCCATCACCACAAACACTTTCTCTGGGGTTTCAAACATGCACTCCAGGTTCACTATTCCCAGATGTCGCAAGCTCTGGTTGACAGAAAACAGAGTTTGGTGAAAAAAAGTTGTGTGCAACGTAAACGTGTTGAAAACTTTGGAGAGTGAGAGGAAAAACTGAAGTGAGTGAATTGAAGAACTGTGGAAAAACATTTTTCAATAAAGTTGGGTTTAAAATGGCAAGAATGCATCTTTAGGTGTGTAACAGAGAAAAACAAAACAGACTTTCACATGCATGCAAAAAACAGGAAGGCACATTCAGACACAATGTCAGTGTGAAACCATAAACCACAGGAAATATAACGTGAAACAAGACGAGGAAGAACATTTTCAAGGGTTCTTAGTTTATACAGACCTGTTCAATAAATTAGAATATAATTGAAAATTCCCTTTACCTCCATAAGTAATTCACTGAGTAAATTAATCATAATATAGATTAATTACACACGTGCTGACACTTTAGTTCTGTTAATTATAATGATTTTCAGCCTGAAGCTAATCAAAACATCATATGTAGGATTAGAATATTACATCGAACCAATTTCAGAAGCACAGAAAAGTGGAATTAATTAAAAGTATGTTTAATACCTGCCTAATTTGTTTTGTCTAAAGCAAATTTACTATTGAGTTGGTCAACTCTGGTCTGTAAATAGTGAATCTACCGCCACCTGCTGGTTAAAAGAATATATATATGCATATGTTTACACCTGAACCAAATGAACTGTTAAACAAAAGAAGTGCTGCATCTTCTTTGCTAATTCAAGTCTCAGTGAAGTATTTCAAAAGGCTGGTCTACCTTTCAAGTTGGGCCACTTTCATGCCAACCAAGAAAGCTTTATTGATTACCCTAAAGGTCCAACCCTCTCGCCTGGATCACAAGGGGAGATATGTGAGAATATGATTTATCAGCCAAAGCATCGACTTCAACACCGTCATCCCAGACTCTGTGCTGCTCCTTGCCCATCACCTCCTTAATAAGAGGTAAAACCTTTGACCAGTTCCTCCTCATTCTACACACTGAGCCATGACGCTCCTCAGGGCCGTGTGCTAAGCCTACTACTTTATTTTATCTATACACCATGAGGGTACTCCCACCTGTTCTGGAAACTTCATCCTAAAATTTGCTTATGACATCACTGTGTTTTAGGCCGATCGCAGTGAAAACAAATAACTAACTCAGGTTCTAGTCATGACAGACTGGTGCTGCTCAAATAATCTGCAATTGAAATCCACAAATCAACAGATGTGTTCTGAAACACGTCATCCTTCTACTGTCCCCAGATAACATCTACAACCCTCGCTGCCTAACCAAAGAAATATTTCACAATGTCTTTCACAAGAGAGCTGACATTTACACCAACACCAACTAGCAGTGGAAAACAGATTTAACAGAGGATTAATAGAGTGGAAAACAGATTTAGCTCTAAAACTATAACCGCACAGAGTATAAACATAAACTAATCTCTGTACATTTTTAGTTATTCACACTTCATATCTTGCTCAGTGCAACTATACAGTCACAATCAATAAATTGAAATGTGAGGCTCATTTGTCAGATTAAAAGTACCTTATTAGCATTATTAGTATTGACAACCTTTAAGCAGGTATTAAACATACTTTTCAGAAAGGCTACATTTCTGCATTAAAATGTTTTTTATTGGTCTGATGAAATTTTCTAATCTTAAACATCCTGTTTTCTTTAACTGTAAGCGGAAAACCATCATAATCAACAGGAATAAAGGCTTTCAAACATCAATCTGTGTGTCATTAAGCTACATCATGTGCTTTACTTTGCGATAAAGTTTAAATAAATGGACTTTGTCATAATATTTCAAGTTATTGAACGGGTTACAGTGTAGGAGTACGAGTCAAATGTTTTCAGTGTGTAAAAGATTGACGTCATTAAGTTGGCTAGTGCTTCGTCTTTATTGCTCAACACACTGTGGGCATTCTCCAGCTTCAACACACAGTGCCCTCTGCTGGTCACCTCCATTATTACAACATTTGGCTCCATGCTTTTGTTTATATTATTAATAGTTTCCTGTACTTTAATGTAAAGCCTTATCCTCTGATTCAGATACTGATTTAAATGACTTTCTGTTTGCAACACACACTTTCATGTTAAAGGTTGTTTTGTGTTCGTCAAAATGTCTGGCATAAAACTGTTCGATAGTCTGTAGTTATTTTATTATCTTTATGTCTCTTGGTAGGTGAATGATTAATAATAAGCAAACTTATAGGAGAAATTAGAAAAATACAGATAACAATTAATGCAATTTATGAAAAAACAAACACTAAAGGTATCAAGAATCAGTTTACCTTTCAATATTCTTTTACTAAATCGACTATATTCATTACTAGAATGCCTATGACAAAATGCCAGTTCTCGGGTCGTTTTAAGACTTTAAATAAGGTTCTTAAAGGCATGTTATCGAGCAGATGGCATAACGTGTGTGTTCTTACTTGCAGGATTGCCACCTCGTTCCTCAGCTGGCTCTCCTGTTTGGTGGGAAATCGAAGCTTGTCGATGACTTTGACAGCAACGTCTCTCCCCGTCTTTCTGTGCTTTCCTGAAATTATTCATGTAAGACTTAAAATGTTTGAAAAGCAGACGTTCTTCTGTTAGGGCCTGAGTAAAATCATCAGTCCAGTATTGTTTATTTTTCTGTCTTTTTTTTTATTTGTTTCTTCTTAAACGCAAGTACCGACATTACATTTGTTTGTCTTGTTTTGTGTTAAACATATGTACATATAGGTGTTTTTCACATGATACAGCAACCTATAACTTTGTCACTGTGACTGCGTATGTTCACGTACCTCCATAAACTACACCAAACTGACCAGATCCAAGCACTTCGTCAGCAAAAATCTGGTACACTGTGCCAATATCCTGCAAGATAGAAAAGGATTTCTCCAAGTGAAAATGCTGTTTGGTGGAAAAAAAATAAATAAATAAAAACATGGAGCAAAGAAAACTGAGTGAAAAGTCATACCACATTCTCTTGGATTTGGCTGTTGGAGACAGAAATGCTGATAGAGGCTTGTCCTGAAACAACATCCACAGGTTGGGTATGGCACACAACATATTTCCTGAATAGTCCCTCAAAACCACTGGAACATTTGTCTGCACTACCACATGCAGACAAATGTTCAAGCTACGTTTCCAAAGAAACATCTTAGCGTGCTTTATTTAAGCTCTTTTTTATTTTTATGTCCTTAAACTTACTGTGCGGCGTATGCCCCTCAGCCGGCGGGGCATCCTGAAAGATGACTGGCATGAGCGCCTGGCGAATGGCGCACTCCCAGGCGTTTGCCACCTCCCGCCCAATGCCACTGTTGGGCTGCACCATGCTGGGGGACGGAGGCGTCTGGGGAAGGGAATGGGGGTTGCTGGTGGACAGTGAGGGAAGGGTGTTGGGGTCCTCCCCAACAAAGTAGCACATGGTGCCGGTGACGAGCTCAAAGCAGTGAGGGTTGGTGCCTTGTGGGACTAGAGTGAAGTCAGTAGCAGGACGCACCTCCAGAATCTCAGAGAGGGGGATCTCCTGCAGTGACATGCAATGCAATGGTGAGGAAAACAGAAAGTGTGCAATTCATATGCACAGGTCTAGAATCAGCAAAGCGTACCTTGTAGTATTTGTTGGAGGTGTTGTTCTGGAACAAGATGATGCACTTGCAGTCCAGACGCCAGTAGTGCCTCTTTCTCTGTCAGGGATTAGGGTTGGAGAGGTAAGACACAACACTGAGGAACACAATGGGTAAAAGGACAGCAAGTGAGGAAGAGTTGCATGAAAAAGCATCACTTCAGATCTGAAGTGGTCACATAAGATAACACAACAGATAAGCTACAGGATGCAAGGGAAAGAAAAGGGAAAGAGTGTAAGTGCAGCCAGAGAGGGAACAGTCTAAAAGACTACAGAGATAAATACATTTCTCTAAAGGTCAAATGTAGCTACTGCACATCAGTAGAAAGACCGGGTAGCAAATCCAATTTCAGACTGAATTCACCACATATTTGCTGAGTGCTTCGGCGTCGACAGAAAGAGTCGACTCCGTCTTCAATTTCCGTCCAATACACTCCCAAAAGCACACAGGCACATTAAAATATGGGAGGAAAAAAAAACAAACAAAGAAGACGCAATAAAGGCTGAAACCAAGCGATCGAGGTCAAAACTGCTGGGAGAAAAGCTACTCAACAGAAAGCAGAAGCAACGTTTCTGCTGTAATTTATGGAAAGTATGCAAAGAAAATCCAATTTATTCCTGTAATGAATTGATTTGAACCTTCAAGTTAATTTTCTTTCCCAGTAGAAGTCCTTTAGATTTGGATTTCAGACCTTCGTATTGGAATTACGGGATATGTACCAGAGTGTCCTTGTTGCTGTAGTGAACCATCCATCCTTCCTTAATTGCTGTGCTGGATCGTCGAGTCGTTTGCCTCACCGACTGGACAACCCTCATCAGTGGGATATTAGCACTGGAAAAAAAAATAAAAAATACACAAAAAGGCAAATTGAGGCATCTTAAAATGACAAACCTCTGTATGAGTTTTACAGTAAAGCAATTGATTATTTGTAAGTTTTAATATACTGGGTTAAACTCTATTATAATAAAAGCATGAGTTTAAACCAAATCAACCTCCTAATGGACGTACAGTATAATTAGGTATTAATTAACCATGTCATGTGCTGATTATTATTATTATTATTATTATTATTATTAATGACATTACTTTATAATGCAGTTGAAATTGTAAAGGGACCACAGTTAGCATGTAGCACGAGGATGCATTTTAGAAAAACAGCAAGCTGTTGAGTGTGTAAAAATGAAGAAGAATCACAGTAAAAAAAAAAAAAAAATTATATATATATATATATATAT